GTGTTTGTGGCTAGGATGAAAGGAGACACCCCAGTGAACAGCACCATGAGTGTCGGCCAAGCCAGGAAGCTGGTGGAGCAACTGAAGATCGAGGCTAGTTTCTGCAGGATAAAGGTGAGGCGCACGTATTTATCGTGAAGTTTGGTCCAAAACAGCACAAACGAAAGTTTTCTGCTTTAAAAAAATCAAGAAAGGAATTCTTTGATATGTTGTGATAAGTCAGTTCTGTCAGTCAGATGCTAATAATTGTGCCGCACAAACTAAATGCAAGTTTGGTTTGAAGATTTTGTTGTAAGCGATGATGGGTAGGCAGTGATGACCTTCTCAAACGTACTTTAAGTGAAGGCTTCCCACTGGAGGCTTTCCAAATGGTGTTTGGCTTGCATGATGTTCCTAATTGCATCAAAGCCACCTTGCAGAGGCACGTTGCCTCTTTGTAAGAAATAATCCACGGGCGTTAAAATGAGCAGGAGGCAAACTTGTCTCATGCTACCATGAGAGCAAAGTTTTAGAGATAAGCTTTATCTGCTGGCACCTCTGGCCAATAATCAGAACCTGAAGCAGAATGTTTGTCTTCACAGAGGTCCAGCACTCTTTCAAAACCTTTGAAACATCTGGCTGTTCAATGTAAAGGTTGAAATTGTTGTTAGAGAGAGATCCACATAAGGAGCACAAGAGCTAAATAATAATTCAGTTAACGTTCAGTTACTTTTATGTTTGCACATTTCATGCTCATATTTAGATTTTATTAAGAAAACTATCCATTCATACATACAAACATCATTTCACGGTCAATCAAAGCAATTTTGAGTCAAGTAAGAACATATTGAATTTTAATTGTTGTTGATGTTTTTGGTGTTACTATGTTTTATCTTCTTTATATAATCTACAGTAGTATGTCCATACAGACACATTCAAAATATTATCTACTCTGTGTGTGTGTGTGTGTGTGTGTGTCGTTAAGTGAGTGAGTGGGGGGGGTAAGTGGGGTATTTTTTTGGGAAATACCAGCCATTGTTAAAACTATAAGCCAGTACAGTAGCGGGGCTTGTGAGGGTCCTACAAAGATTTCATGTTCTGACTGTTCCACAGTGTACCTGTGAAAATACAAATGAGAAAGAGCAGAGGCCAAAATAATGCTCATGCATATAAACGATCACAGCAAAGATAACAAACATACAGTGGGGCAAAAAAGTATTTAGTCAGCCACCGATTGTGCAAGTTCCCCCACCTAAAATGATGACAGAGGTCAGTAATTTGCACCAGAGGTACACTTCAACTGTGAGAGACAGAATGTGAAAAAAAAAATCCATGAATCCACATGGTAGGATTTGTAAAGAATTTATTCGTAAATCAGGGTGGAAAATAAGTATTTGGTCAATAACAAAAATACAACTCAATACTTTGTAACATAACCTTTGTTGGCAATAACAGAGGTCAAACGTTTACTATAGGTCTTTACCAGGTTTGCACACACAGTAGCTGGTATTTTGGCCCATTCCTCCATGCAGATCTTCTCGAGAGCAGTGATGTTTTGGGGCTGTCGCCGAGCAACACGGACTTTCAACTCCCGCCACAGATTTTCTATGGGGTTGAGGTCTGGAGACTGGCTAGGCCACTCCAGGACTTTCAAATGCTTCTTACGGAGCCACTCCTTTGTTGCCCGGGCGGTGTGTTTTGGATCATTGTCATGTTGGAAGACCCAGCCTCGTTTCATCTTCAAAGTTCTCACTGATGGAAGGAGGTTTTGGCTCAAAATCTCACGATACATGGCCCCATTCATTCTGTCCTTAACACGGATCAGTCGTCCTGTCCCCTTGGCAGAAAAACAGCCCCATAGCATGATGTTTCCACCCCCATGCTTCACAGTAGGTATGGTGTTCTTGGGATGCAACTCAGTATTCTTCTTCCTCCAAACACGACGAGTTGAGTTTATACCAAAAAGTTCTACTTTGGTTTCATCTGACCACATGACATCCTCCCAATCCTCTGCTGTATCATCCATGTGCTCTCTGGCAAACTTCAGACGGGCCTGGACATGCACTGGCTTCAGCAGCGGAACACGTCTGGCACTGCGGGATTTGATTCCCTGCCGTTGTAGTGTGTTACTGATGGTGACCTTTGTTACTTTGGTCCCAGCTCTCTGCAGGTCATTCACCAGGTCCCCCCGTGTGGTTCTGGGATCTTTGCTCACCGTTCTCATGATCATTTTGACCCCACGGGATGAGATCTTGCATGGAGCCCCAGATCGAGGGAGATTATCAGTGGTCTTGTATGTCTTCCATTTTCTGATGATTGCTCCCACAGTTGATTTTTTCACACCAAGCTGCTTGCCTATTGTAGATTCACTCTTCCCAGTCTGGTGCAGGTCTACAATACTTTTCCTGGTGTCCTTCGAAAGCTCTTTGGTCTTGGCCATGGCGGAGTTTGGAGTCTGACTGTTTGAGGCTGTGGACAGGTGTCTTTTATACAGATGATGAGTTCAAACAGGTGCCATTCATACAGGTAACGAGTGGGGGACAGAAAAGCTTCTTACAGAAGACGTTACAGGTCTGTGAGAGCCAGAGATTTTCCTTGTTTGAGGTGACCAAATACTTATTTTCCACCCTAATTTACGAATAAATTCTTTACAAATCCTACCATGTGAATTCATGGATTTTTTTCACATTCTGTCTCTCACAGTTGAAGTGTACCTCTGGTGCAAATTACTGACCTCTGTCATCATTTTAAGTGGGGGAACTTGCACAATCGGTGGCTGACTAAATACTTTTTTGCCCCACTGTAACTCAAAACAACAAGGATGAGGGTCTGAAACATCCATCAATCCTCCCATCCGTTTACTTATGTTTATCCACTTCAGGCTCATGGTGAGGCTGGAGCCTGTCCCAGCTACCATGGAGCAAAAGGTGAAGTGGACCCCGCACAGGTCACCAGTCTGTCGCAGCTCTAACACTGACAACCATTCCCAGCCACTCCTATGGCCATTTTAGAATAACCAATCTAACACACACAGATCATGCAAACTCCACGCAGAAGGCTGGCTGGTGGATTCAAATCGAGGATTTTCTGTCTGCAATGCCACTATACCACCCGGGTTAAAAGCAGCATGCAAAAAAATCAATAACTGTCGCTATTAAAGCACCTTGAGATGACTCCTATAACAGCAAGAGGCATCTCAAGGTGCTTTAAATTCATTTAATATTAATCACACAGTATTATAAGCAAGGATTTGGCGACTGTGGGGAGGAAGTCACTAAGTTCCTGATTTTACAGGGAAATTACCTGCAAATCACCAGGATCAGGGAGGGGCAGCCAGCTCCCTACTGTGACCACTCGGAGGCGGGATGAGGGGAAAGTGTAAAGGGGAAAAATGTAATTAAATGCTCTAAACCCCATCGTCTCCACCTCCAGGTATCAAAGGCAGCAGCCGACCTGATGGCATACTGCGACGCACACGCCTGCGACGACCCCCTGATCACCCCCGTGCCCACCTCAGAGAACCCCTTCAGGGAGAAGAAGTTCTTCTGCGCTTTGCTTTGAGACAAATCAGGGATTGTTGTGATGAAAAAGTACAACTGTACAGTATGTACATCTATGTACAGTGTGTACATGTACTTCCAATCTGAATAAGACATTAATGTACTATAGTAACGTTGCATAAAAGCTGCCGATGTACAGTACATAACCAACTACAAAATGTCTTGAACTAAATTCTTAAACTGCGAACATCTGTCTCAATGTTAGAGGAGGGCAAAGAAGAATAATTTAACATTTAATCAATAAAGAGTTAGAAAAATCACAAAGTTGCTAAAAGTCTCAAGGGAAGGGGAAAAAACAAAGAGCGTTCATCTGAAAGGAAACACATGCATCTCATGCTCAAATAGGTTACAAGTAACTGCCAGAAGGGACAACATGATCACCAAGTATCTTATTTCTCCACCAGTCACAGGCAACAGATTCATATTGAAACTGGGAACCTAAATTACATTAGGTCTCGGCATTATGGAGGACATGTCTCAGCTCTCCCCATTTAAATTCCCCATAAATGAGAAGACTAATGCCGCGTAATCAAACACATTTTCATTCTTTGTCTACTCGTAGGCAGAGGTCATAACATGTATGCTCCTCTCACAAGTAGCAGCATTTTTTTTCTAATCTAATCTATTGTTGACCTTCGTCATTCACTGTTTAGCCCTGTCTTGGCAGTTACTTGTTTACAACTGGACACATGCAATTGATTTGGGGGGTTTTGGGGGTGGGGGAGGGTATTAAGATTTTAGCCTCTTCTTTTTTTGCTCATTTCTATACTATTGCCGTAGTGTGGATGTGGACGTGTGTGTATGCATAGGTGCTACTGTGAAACTTGAGCAACAATTCTGTGCATCGGATCACTGTCAAATTGAGATTTTGTAGTTAAATAGCACACACACACAAACCCAAACACATTCCAGGAGTTATGGACTTTCAACATCTAATCTAAGCCACTGAAGTAAGATCATCTAATCGGTTATTCTGAGCCTGTCATAATAATAATTTTCTAATTCTTTAAGACATGAAAATAAAAACAAGTAAATGAAGCAGTCTTAATGTACTTTTAAGGACAAGTGTGCATCATTGTTATTTTAAATGATCAGAGGATCTCCAGAGCAGGGGTTCTTAGTGGTTTCCAGAAAAGTCATGGATCAACCAGTGTCACTTTCTCCATCTAAAGTACTGTCAGCTGTTAAGTTTCAACACCACTTTCATAAAAGGAAACGAAAAACTGCTCTTCTCGTGTCCGTGACCTGGAACTTTTGGAAACGCCTCCCTCCTGCTTTGGAGCATTCAAAAAGAAAAAAAAAAAATGAGTGACATATTTTCATCATGTTGCAAATATCTGGAGCTTTGGCAGAAAAAAGGGTAACCATGGAAACGAAGCACTGAAATAAAGCCTCCTGTCATCAAACATTTTCTGTCTCTTGGGGTGTTCTCTGATAAAATGCACAGAAAAAAAAAACATGTTCAAATGTGATACTTGCTTTTTATTGTTTTATAATAAAAGCAATAGAAAAGCTGAAACCTTTTCACAGTCAAATGCAAACACGTGGGCCTGCGTTATAACAGAGCTGCTACACACTGGTTACATCTTCATACAGCTTGATAACTGGTGGTGGGTTTCAGCATTTGAACGGAAGATTAGGGAATACAGTGTGAACATGCAGTGTTGTGGACTTTATACTTCTTTAGACCAAGTTAAATGTTTAAAGTAACATGCATTAAGGCATCTCATGTCTAGAAATTCAAAGACAGTACATAGCTCAGCTATGAAGACCTGACCTAAATATCAGGCTCACTGTTGTAACAAAATGCACACAGTGTAGGATTTTCATTTAAAGCCACTTAAACCAATAAAGGATATTTTATTTGTAAGTCACATGACAGTGGATTAAGAGGGTTTCTCCGCTCTTACTCAGCTTGTAAGTTGCAGAAAGAAAAGACAGCCTACTACTTTTAACCTACTTTAATTAGCTGCTAACATGGTTTTGCTAGATCCATCACTGTGGGTTTGGATCAGGATGGCTGCTGTCTGACGCTCACCAACTCGTAACTTTGCTTTCACGACCTCCACAAAAGGTTTGCATTTTTTTACTAGCAGCACAACTAGCTGTGATATCGAGCTTTCTAACAAACACAATATCTAAGTTACCAGCAATAGAGACACTTTTATTATTGAAAGTATTGTTTTGTTACATTGGCATCTTTATTTATATACATTTCAATCTTCAAGTCCAAACAAGCTCAGAGTAGACTAGATGTAGGACTGTGGTGTGTCTTCATTTGCAAGACACAAAGTTAAAACACTTCACATACATATATCTATATAAATCTCTAAATACCAGTGTCAGTTGAATCTTTTTTTAGGTTTAGTTTTCAGGTTTCACATTAAATTATCCAAATCTTCTGCCAAACAGACAATCCTTATCAAGAAATCGTTGAAGCAGTGCTGGTGGAATTACAGTACATGAAACTGTGATATGATGTGCTACTTAAAAAAAAATGGACAACTCATATCAAACCTTCCAGTAGCATTTAAAAACAAGCAAATGGTGCAAGCAGCCCAAAAGCATCAGGTGACTACAGGTGTTAGTGTAGATTGTACAGGTAAACCATCACATTAAATAGAAAGAAATGTGCTGAAATAAATGAAAACAAATCGTGAAGTTAAAGAGTTTACCTCTAAAACTGCCATAATGAGCTTAAAATGGTAACTTCTTAACGCACTGTCAACAATGAACACACTAGAAATTTACATTTTTTTAAATTTTGAACAGAAAGTACACATAATATTCCAATAGTTGGGCCACATGGATATTATAAGCAGGGGCTGAATTAAAAGAAAATCTGAAGAGGTAATGTACAGCTTGGACTTCAGAAGTACAAAAACAAATGACTGAATGTTTATAGGAAGGCATCGCACCATTCCTTAAGACAGCCATAGCAGTCACCTTGTTGTTTGACATTTGCTCCGCAAGTGTCCTTCAGCCAATCTCGGAAAAGCTCCTCGTCTTTCTTTAGCACTAGAAACTGTCCGAGGACGACATATGCCTGTGGAAGTGGATGTGAAGACACAACACAAGAATGTAATTAAGACCGATGGGCGAGTATCTAAGAATGAGCCACATCTGTTCTGATAACGAGCAGATCCGGTTTTTAATTGAACCTGAAAAACTGCACAGATGAGTATTTGTTTGGGTGTGTTTGATCAAATTCATAGCTCATTTGACAAGAGAACAACTCTTCTGCGACAACAAACGTTTACAGATGTCCAGAAGAAAAACTGCAGATTGTTTTTCTTTACATCACAACTTTAGTTGTGCTAGTTTTCCAAAAATAAGAACTAATCTGTTAAGCTTGCGTCAGCTGTGATATACTGCTGCTGTAAATTAAGATTATTTCAATATTATTCAAAGCAATCAATACCTACTAGGTAAAATAACTTAAAATTACTGTGTGAATAAACACACTGCAGAAGCTAATCAAAAACCAAGTCACCTTGTCAAAACCCTTATCCTCCAGTCTTTTGCCAAGGACTTCTCCAATGCCTGCCAGAGCCATCACTGGCTTCTCTCCCATGGGCTCGGCCACGAAGTCTTTATGTTTTTGGGATGTCGATGACATGGTCTCTTTGGAGTCTGTCAAATAATAGCAGGTGCTAAACGGTAATATAAACAGATCTGACAAGTGAAAACAATACTTACCCAATTTCGTGAAAAGAAAGAATATTTCGTAAAATTGCAAATCTAATTTTACTTATATTTTTATCAGTAACTGATAGACGGCACAGAAACTTCTTTAGACAGTAGTTGAACATGATATGGTTTAATGTTTGGCTACTCATGTCAACTCTAGTTATGAACCAAGCCTACAGTGCGAACATATCAACAAGTGCCGTATCTTTCTCTACAGCAATGACTTATTTTATGGAGCTCTGAGTGCTAATGCTAATATATTTAACATCTGGGGTTACCAACTGATCGTTATTACAGAGTAGCATCTAGTCAGACTCACCAAACACAACTACACCCGTGAAATATTTCGCCTGATTGCTTAACGTAAGTGCAGTACAAGCAGTTGAATTGCGCGCGCAACACATTTCAATGCTAAGCGTTTTAGCACACCGAGCTAAAGTTCACTAGCTTCCAGTTTATATTACTGCTTTTTTTCCTACATAGCCGCAGCTTCTTGGCGGGAGATATGTCTATCTCAAAGCCAGGGCTTGCTCCTAAAATAATCACAGACTATCAAGTTAATGCTGTAAAGCTAGAAATCAGGGGCTCATATTTTAGGCGCCTACAAATTAGCCTAACTTGAGCTAATGAAGCTTTAACGCTACTAATCTAATTTTTATTTTCCTATGAGGTTCATTTACAAATAACCTCTTCCTTTGGGGCACGTCTGCGTTTATCACAACAAAAACCCACAGCTGCGTATCAACTTACCCGTTAGTCTCCCGTCCAAGCTTGATATTAACGTAGTTAGCTGAAAAGCTACGTGCTTTCGATTTCTGTATAAGCACCGGCGACCACAATGCAATGCGCAGGCTCTCTGCGGCTTCAGGTCAAAAATCGCGTGACGTCATTTCCCCCTGATTTTGACCTCTAGGGCATAACCAACTTTTAATGAGGTATTTCGATTATCACGTTTATCATAAATTATAATACGCACGTCTTCATTTTTGCCTGTCACACGTTGCTGAGGTGGCAGACACTTTGTAATAAACAGGCAAAGAAAACAGTGTATATTGCTTTCAGTGTGCATTTTATTAACTAGGGAGTAACAGTATACACAGACTGATGCACCGTCCTTAGGATTGGCTTTCATGTCATGGTTGTGCGCATTAATCATCTTCTAACTCAGCTTCTGACACCAGCATGGCATTTGCATCAGTCTTTGGGTTGAGGAGGCGAAAGCTTAAGTAGGTTTATAACTGCAACTTTCACAGTAGCTCGGGGTGTGCGGCTTCTTTTATTCAGCTGACAAAATGCTGGAAGCCAGGCTGCAGGTCAGCCCGGTGCCATCTGGCTCCACATTGAGCTTCTTTACAACTCCGTCTTCCACCAACATAGAATATCTGAAACAACATGAAATACACACTCCAATCTACTTTAGGTAAGACCAACAGAACAAATAACAGTTATGTTGTGTGCAGTTTGTCTTTAATCAGTATGGACAGAATTAAGATTGAAAAATCAGTAGAAACTTCACAAACACTGCAGTTATCTGCAACCTTTGCACAATGAATCAATTGCAGTGGTGGAGGTGCAAAAGCAGGTAATGTGCAAAAGGCCGTATGTAAAAGCATTTCCACTCACTCGCTGCTCCACTCTTAAGTGAGCAGTAAAGTGATTCTGGACAGCTATAAAGTCAACATACTGTGTCATCCATACTGTGTCATCATAAGTGTACTATTGTGTAGTGACACTGTTAGCACACAGAACTGCACAGAAAGTACTTATTATGTTCAAGGCAGGAATGATTGTGGGAACGATTGTGGGGATATAGTGCATAAACTTTCTTACTGTGCAAACTTGTTATTAATAAAATTCAGGAATTTAAGACAAACAAAAAAGGTTACCTCTTGGATCGCTTATTCCCAAGTACCTGCACGATTTGATCACTGTCAAGTAACAGGTCAACTGCCTAAGGCAAAGAAAGATGAATTAATAGTCAGTCACTAAAGCTTCAAGTAGAGCTGGAATATAAAGTAGATATTGGTTTTTACCTTTGTGAATGCTCCAGTGGGATCAGCCAGCATCCGCACCTGCAGATGAAAAGTGGCCATAAGCTCAGCATTACTGCATCCTTAAAGTTCATTTTGGCCATTTCCCAGGTCTTTGTCCAAGACTAACATGTCACAGAGCTCTCTAATGGTTCAGAAAAGCCATCTAAATGCAGGTTGTTCAGTTGTACTCTACCTTTCCATCAGCTCCATGCTCTTTTCCCCATGCAGCCATGACAAACGCATCGTTGACAGAGATACATGCTATTTCCTGTATACCTTTATTCTTCAGTTCTGCAGCCTGCTCTACAAAACCTGGGAGGTGAGTCTGAAAACAAAAAAAATAAATAAATAATTAATAAGGTCAGCTGATTATCAATGTGCACAGGCACTGTTAACAGTGTGGACTCACTTTGGAACAGCCAGGTGTAAATGCTCCAGGTACAGCGAAGAGGACTCCTTTCTTCCCCTTAAACAGTTGATCCATAGCCACCTTATTCCCTGGCTCCCCCTCCTGGACCTCCACTGCAGGAAGATGTTCATCCACCTGATGAGAGGCGAGATGACAATACAGAACAATGGTGACCTACATTTCACATTACTGACGTGAGCAATACTAATGTGCATGTCTCTGGAGGACATTGCATGCACTGCTATTTGTGTTACGTTTAGCCTGCACTTGCACAGAAGTGCTGCAGGATGACACAGTGGAGGGAGAGGGGTTTTTCTCTACGTACGTACGAACGATAGATACAAAAACACACCCATCTAATATTCAGCTTCCTATTTATTAATAAACAAGGCTTGCAGGATCTTGCACGGCCACTGGGGGGCGACAAATCATACAATTAGAACCCATCTGTTCTCTGATTGGATTGTTAAATTTGTGACTGACATGACATTGACCAAATAGGTTCAAAATTCGTACTTGTAACTTGAAACTTGAGTGCAGAGTTTCACACGTATTTTTTGGCTAAGTCCACAAACAAATCTTTTTTTACGCACACACAAATTCTTGTTACACATACAAATCCTGAGTTTCAAGTACAAAACTGATTTACAAGTACAAAACTGATTTACAAGTACAAAACTGATTTACAAGTACAAAA